AAGTTTAAAGATCCTCTGTTTAAACTTCAGTGCCTTCCTATTACTTTTGTGGAAGGAGGTTTTTCCTCACACTTGGAAATGAAACACAAACTTCTTGTCATGGCCCAGAAAGCTCTGTAGATTGGATCTTGCCCTATCTCTCAGATGTTGCCCTTACCATTCATCCTCTTATTCCTCGCACTAGAACATAAACTCCGGGAAGACAGGAATTTTGTCTTTGGCACTGAATATATTCCTAGTGCCCTGTTCCAGTTCCTGGTGCAAGGTAGGTTCCAAATATCAATTTGTGGAATGAATGAATTTATTTTCTCAATAGCCCTTGTAAATAGTTATTATTTTTTCCCTTCTTTGCAAACAAGGAAACTGAAACTTATGTATGTGAAGTGACTTCACCAAGGTCACAGAGCTGAAAAGTGGCAAAAGCATTCATTTATTTATTCATTCAACAAATATTTAGTGAACAGATGCTAGGCCTAGTTCTTCTAGGCATTGAGGCAGGATTCAAATTTGTGGCTAATGATTTTAGGACAACACAATCTTCTTTCTACCTTTTAAATTTTGTATTCTTTGCAAGAATTATAAAAATAATAGAAGGGTGCATTCTTTCTGTGAAATAATTCAATCAATAATATAGATAGATAAGATCAAGTTCTCCCTTGACATTTATTCCTTTTTCCATTTCCCAACAAATATAAGTCAGTCCCCAGAAGTGAACATTGTTTACTATTCTAGACACACAGATACCCAGAGAAAGAGAGAGAGAGAGAGAGTGTTTTATGTTTAATCCCTACTCCTACAGGGTAGTCTGCTCTAACTATGGTTCAGTTAACATTATCTTAAAGATTTTTTAAAATGTATTTGTCAGAGAGAGAGAGAGTGAGAAAGAGCGCATAAGCAGGGGGAGCAGCAGGCAGAGGGAGAAAAAGGTTCGCTACTGAGCAAGGAGCCCAATGTGGGGCTTGATCCCAGGACACTGGGATCATGACCTGAGTCAAAGGCAGGTGCTTAACTGAGCCACTCAGGCATCCCTTTTTAACAGTATCTTCAATATCTTTTCATATCAGTACATAAATATCTACCTCATTTATTTTAATAACTGCATGTCATGCAACAGTATGAATGTGCCATTATTTCTTTAATGACTTCCCATATTAATGAGTGTTTGAGTTTTTCTGCCTTTTCATTATTATTATGGCAAATTCCTTGTACAGGCCTTTCTGTGCATTGAATATGAATAATTCTTTAGAGTTCAAAGCAGAATCATTGGGTTGAAGCATATATATATATTTTAATTTGAACAAGTACTGCCAAATTATCCTTCTAAAAAACTTTACCAATTTACACTCCTGCTAACAGTGCATGAAACTGCTTGTCATAATCAGGATATATCTATTTCTGTTGTCCAAAAAATTTCCCTTGGGCAGCTTTGCATTTTAATCTCCACTCGTGTTTGGATCTGCTGTCACTATAGATTATTTTTGCCTATTCAAGAATTTCATAGATATAGAATTATATTGTATATAGTATTTCATGTCTGGCTTCTTTTTTAAAAAAATTCAATTTCGGTGTAGTTAACATACTATGTTATATTAAGTTTCAGCTGTACAAAATAGTGACTCAATAATTCCGTATATTACTCAGTGCTCATCAGGATAAATGTACTCTTAATTCCCTTCACCTGTTTCAGTCCCCCTACCTCACTACTTCATGTCTTTTTTATTTCTCTGTTTCTTCCTTTTAATTGTATGTCTGTCTTCTTTCGCTCTTCCTAATTATTCTGAGATTCATCCATGTTGTCATGAATACCATTAGACTGTTCCTTTTTACTGCTGAGTAGTATATAATTGAGTGAATATACCACAATCTGTATATCTATTCAGTGGTTATTGGACATTTGGGTTTTTCCCATTTTTTAATTATTATGAATAATAATGTGAACATTTGTATTTGCATGCAAGTATTTTTGTAGACATGTATGTTCATTTCTCAAGGACTCTACCTAAGAGCAAAATTGATGAGTCATGTGGTAAGTGCATTTTGAACTTTATAAAAAAATTGCCAGGTTGTTTTCCAAAGTGGTTGGAAGTCCCACTTTTACAGTCTCACTAGCACTGTATCATAATTCTATTCATCCCATATACTCATCAACATTTAATCTGTCTTTTTAAAATTTTAGTCATTGTAGTGGCCATGTAGTGGTATCACCCTGTAGCTCTAATCTGTATTTCCCTGAAAAGTAATAATGTTGAATGTCTTTGCATATGCTTATTGGCTATTTGTATATCTTCTTTTTGAAATGTCTATATTAGTCTTTCAGCAATTTAGAAGACTAGATTGTCTTATTATCTATAAGGGTTTGTCATAAATTCTGTATACATGTTCCTTGTTAGGTTGTATTACAATTTTTTCTCCTAGTGGTAACAAATATTTTCTACCCTCGATAAATGAAAACATATTAATGCAAAAGTCTGTACACAAATATTTATAGAAGCTCTATTCATGCTTGCCCCAAACTGCAAATAATCCAGATGTCCTTCAGGGGGTGAATAAACAAACTGTAGTGTATGCATGTGATGTATACTCAGCAATGAAAAAGAACAACTTACTGCTACTTGCAACAACTTGCATGAACTTTAAGGGCATTATTCTCAGTGAAAGAAACCACTCTCAAATTTATATACTGTATAATTCCATTATAGGACATCCTCAAAAACACTAAATTGTTGTGATAGGGAAGAGACCAGTGGTTGGCAAGGTTTAGGTATGGGAGTGGGGGTCATTACAAGGGGTAGCATAGAGGAGTTTTAGGGGTGATAGAAATATTCTATGTCATAATTGTGGTAGTGGTTATATGAATCTATGTAATAAAATTCAGGAATGTACACAAAGGGAAATCAATTTTGTTGTATGTTAATTAAGAACATGTTATAAACAAAAAAGAAAATCAACAAAGCCTGTATAAGTATGTAGGTACCTATGAATGTTGGTTTTTCAATGGAGAAAGATGTGGCAGGAAATAAATATATCTTTAATACTGGCTACTTTGTTGGAGGAGGAAACAAAAATGACCAACTTTTTCAGTGTACATTTTTGTACTGTTTTGAAACAATTGTTTCAAAACACTTACTTCAATTAGCATTTAGTGATTTCAAAATTTGAAAAACATCTACTAAAAATGGATATTAGGAAAATATTTAAAAAGAAAAAAGTATTTCTGCTTATTTAAATACCTGATGATATGGTAGAGAACAAGAAAAATGTGTTTCTATTCTTTTTTTTTTAAATTTATTTATTTATTTTAGAGAAAGAAAGAGTGAGTGAGAGTGGGGGGAGGGGCAGAGGGAGAGAATCTTTTTTTTTCTTTTCTTTTTTTTTGTTTAAACATTTTTTTAAATTTATTTTCAGCATAACAGTATTCATTGTTGTTGCACCACACCCAGTGCTCCATGCAGTTTTAAAAATTTTTAAATTTTTTAAATTACTTTTCAGTGTACTAGAATTCATTGTTTATGCAACACACCCAGGACTCCGTGCAATACGTGCCCTCCACAATACCCACCACCAGGCTGGCCCAACTTCCCACCCCCTGCCCCTTCAAAACCCTCAGATTGTTTTTCAGAGTCCATAGTCTCTCATGGTTCATCTCTCCCTCCAATTTCCCTCAACTGAGAAGGAGAGAATCTTAAGCAGATTTCCTGCTGAGTATGAAGCCCAATGGGGGACTCATCTCACAACCCTGAGAACATGACCTGAAGCCAAGAGCTGGACACTCAACCAACTAAACCATCTAGGCATCCCAAATGTGTCTCCTTTCTTATGGGGCACAGTCTGGTAGAGTCCAGTTTTCCACATCCTACAAGTGTCTCAGTCACAAAATGTGGCTTCAATTAGTCTCTGCCCAATAGAATTTTTTTATAAGGATAAATACCTTAATACATACTTGAAACAGTGCCTGACACACATGATTAATGTAGCTGCTATAATATATCATCTATGAATTGGAGAATAATTGCCATGGAAATATATATATATATTTATATTTATATTTATATTTATATTTATATTTATATAATGGAATATTATTCAGCCATAAAAGAGAATGAAATCTTGCCATTTGCGACATGGATGGAGCTAGAGAATATAAGTGGAATGAAGCAAATAAGTCAGTCAGAGAAAGATACTATATGCTCTCACTCATATGAGGAATTTAGGAAAGAAAACAAACAAGCATGGGAAAGGGAGACAGAGACAGAGAAGAGAGGGAGAGAGGCCAGCCAACAAACAGACTCTTGACTATTGAGAACAAACTGATGGTTACCAGAGGGAAAGTGGGTAGGGGGTGGGTGAAACAGGTGATGGGGATTATGCACTTGGAATGATGAGCACAGGGTGACATATGGGATTGTGGAATCCCTACATTGTACACCTGAAACTAATATAACACTGAATGTTAAGTATACTGGAGTTAGAATGAAAAGAAGTGTCTGCCATGTAATAGGCAGTCAGTTAATATTAGTTTTGTTGGCCTGAATTTTAGTTTTGGAGCGCGGGTACTGCGATGTGGGGTAGATGGCAAGGATCTGTCCTGGGTTTGGTTTTCTGGGCCTCCCCACTTATCTGTCTTTCTTGGCCTTTCTATCTTTTAACTTCAGGGAAACGTCTCCCTCCGTCTCATCCCCTGGTTGACTTATCACCCTCCTTCAGGACCTAGATGCAGGGCGTTTCCCTCTTAGGCAGATACTTGACTCCTTGCCTACATTTAGTTAAGTATGCCTACATACTCTGGAAAGTGTGGGTGAGACATACATAGCACTGGTGGACCTGCAGGTGAGCCAGCCTGGGAGAAATGTGATCTCAGAGCAGGGCATGATTTGAAAGGTGTTGGAGAGGGGGTCCTGCAAGGCACCAGAGATCTTTAAGGGGAATGAGGGAATTGGGGGGAAATACCCAACAATGAGGAAAAATGATACTTAAATTCTATCTTTCTCTAACTTAGGCAGATGGCTCTTCTTCAGGCCAATAAGGATCTCATTTCTACAGGAATGAAGGAATTTAATGTTCTGCTGAATCAGCAGGTAAGCCCAGGCACTGTCTCAAAGGACAGGCAGAGACTCTTGGCAGATGGGTGAGGGGAGAGAAGGGAGAATAATTTAGAGCTGGGAGAGCAATGGTGCAGTTGATGGAAATCAGAGAAAGGAGGATGTTGGAGTTTGTGAGTTATTTCTGAATCACACTGGTGACTACATTCTCCCTTGCTTTCCCCTCACTCTGCAGGTCTTCCCTAATCCTCCTATACCTGAAGAAGCCATGGTGACTATGGTGGATGACTGGGTGAACTTCTACATCAACTATTACAGGAAGCAGATGGCAGGGGAGCAGCAAGAGCAGGAGAGGGCTCTACAGGAACTTGAGCAAGAGCTAAGAACTCTGTCTGCCCCTTTTCTGACCAAGTATAGGGCATTCTTGAAGTCCTTTTGAGCACCTAAATCACTCACTGCCTTTCTCCTAGCCCGAATACCCAGGCCTGCATCTCTAAGAAACCCTTAAATCCTGCCTCTGTGTTCTTCAAGTGCTCGGGCTCTGCTCCTTCATGGTGTTATTCTACCCTGACACCTCAATAAAGACCAAATTGGTTTGCTGGTCTTCCTGGCTCTTCTGTTCTTTTTCAGTTGCTGGTCCCTGACTTGTGGAGGCAGCTGGTTCCTTTTCCTTTAGCTCTGCTTCCTAGATATACTCTCGGGTGTTTAATTTTTTTAGAGCAGAGGTTAGCAGCCTTAAGTAGCCACTGGGCAGTATTAAAATAGTCTAAAGGAGAGGCCAGAAAGGCAGGGACTAAAGAGAAAGTGCTGCAGGGAGGAGTCATTAAAAAAAAAGAAGGAAAGGAAATAAAAAAGCTTTCTAGAAATTGTGGCCATGTGGAATTCTTGTCTAGAAGAAAGTTGTTGAAGACTTCCAGTCTTGTTCACCCTATGCTAGGTGGAATCAAGAGCCCACTGACCTCAATTTTCCAATTCCTTGCCCTTAGCCCCAGCTTGAACAAAGTTCTAGGAACTCATGGCTCTAATATTACAGAATACCTCCCTGCAGCATTGTTGTGATTTAGAGTTGGAAAGGATCTTGGGAACCATTCAATACATCCCTTATTTTTCAGGTAGGAAAACCTTTGGCTCTAAATCCTCAGCCTCAGCTCTCAGGTTTGAGAAGCAGAGATTCCTTCCTGCCTCTGAGGCCCCAACCATTTCGCATTGTTCCCTGGCTTAGACTTCTTTTCTCTTCAGCCTCTAAACCCTGTAAACCTCTTCATTGTGAAGAGCCTCAGAGGTGCCCAGCACCAGTGAGCAGGGGAGGAGGGATAGAGGTGGGAAGAGGCAGGAAAAGCCAGTCTAGGGGGTTGGGCACACAAATCAGAGGCTGGCCAAAGCCTTTGCTGCTGGGCTGGCAGGAGGAGAGCAAGGAGCACTCCCTGTCATTTCCTGTTTTCTCTTCAGCCAGAAAGATTTGGTGGTGAGAGGGGTTGTTTTCTCATTCCAATCTCTAGCAAATCTTCCCTTCAGATCTGTGCACTCTTACCTCCGACTTTGGATTTGGTTTGGGGGCCTCATTAGTCTAGTTCAGGTGATGTGGGAAACAAAGGCAGAAGAAAAATTATGATATTTCCTTACTACCTACAGCCCATTGACAAGTCCTTAAAACAGAGAGAGTGGCATTCCCCTAGGCATTCAACTGCCTCGATGTTGACACTTTGAGAAGGGCAAAAGGCAATTCTAGCCCTATCCCCTCCTTCCCCCATCCTATAAGTCCACATTAACATATAAAATTCCTTTAGAAATTTCTCTCTAAATCCCTGAAGATACATGTTGGCAGTCTTCCTCCAAGCATATGGCCCACCAATATGCATCTGAAGGGTGTCATGACTGAGGTTTTATTAGCTGGTAATAAATGACTTTCCCCCAACATTAGCTAGCTCCCTCAAGGTCCTGGAAACCTTGCTTCCAAAATTCCTTATAGACTTGTGCTATCCCCAAACCCCTCCCAACTTGAAAGCATATAATGGGCCACTTCTGACCCCATTGCAGTTCTTTCTGACCACGGGTCCTGTCCCTGTGCTTTTATAAAATCACCTTTTTTGCACCAAAGTTGTCTCAAGAATTCTTTCTATGCTGTCAGCTTTGAACCCTAACATTGTCCTTCCAACATCACAGGGTCCAAAGGGAACAAGCCCAGTACCCGCAGCCATCCTTCCAAACTTAGGGTGTAAGGATGTCAGGACCCATCAAGGGAGTTGAAGGCGTCCTGGGAATCAGGTGGTGAGCACCTCTGAGGTGATGTTGGTGGTCCAGGTGGAGGCCAGGGCCTTCCCACTCAGGAAATTTCAGCCTGTTAATGGGATCCAGGGCCTGATCAGTTGGGGTTGGGACAGTGGTCATACCATCATCACCTTTGCAGAAAGACCTGCACTACTGTGCATCAGTGGAGGAGAGATACTGAGGAGCCATATGAAAAAAGTATTAGATTTACTCTGTTGCTGTATGAAGATGAAAATAATGGTCAGAAGCCATTTTGGCTCAATTAATGATGATAAATTTTCCATAAATAAACTCTCTAATTGCGGGGGTTGCTAGCTAGCCATTTCTCAAATGCTCAAAGGATGATGGTCAATTATCAGGTATGCTGTGGTGGAATGGGTAATTCAACATTTAAATTCTATTCCAGTCATTCCATAAGCTTGAAATTTAGAAGTTGCAAATCCTTTTTTTATTTTTTAAGGACAGAAACCTGTTAAAACTGCATTGCATGTCCTTACATTCCTATCACCTTAGCATCTGGTTGTAAATTTAAGGCATAAAATTTGGAATGACTTTTCAGAGCTGTGAATCATCAGGATCTGATGGTGCATAATAATACAATTAAGATTACTGGGCCAATGAGTATCCCAAATCCATTACTATTCCTGCAGAAAAATGAAACAAAATTAATAAGAAAAATAATGTTTCTTTTGCTTTGACAGCATTACATGAATTAATGGTGGAAGTAAGATTATAAACAGAAGAATGAAATTTTACGGCAATAACCCTGCTTTTATCCTAACCCTAACATTGACCTTGATCCTGGGGCTGCCTGAAATTTAACCCCACCTTTAATATCACCTGACCCAGGGGATGGCTTTGAACTTTAACTTCACACTTAACCTCACCCTGACCCTGACTCCAAGTCGTACTTGACCTTGGTCCTGACCATGAAAGACACCCTTACTCTCCCAAATATCCCTGATCCTCATGCTAACCTCTCTCATTTAATTTTTTCTTTTTTTTCCGGACCTTATTTATTTATTTGTTTATTTATTTTTAAAAGATTTTATTTATTTATTTGACAGATAGAGATCACAAGTAGGCAGAGAGGCAGGCAGAGAGAGAGAGTAGGAAGCAGGCTCCCTGCTGAGCAGAGAGCCCTATGTGGGGATCGATACCAGGACCCTGGGACCATGACCTGAGCCAAAGGCAGAGGCTTTAACCAACTGAGCCACCCAGGCGCCCCAGGACTTTATTTATTTGAGAGACAGAAAGCATGCACAAGGAGGCAGAGCAGGCAGAGGGAGAGGGAGAAGCAGGCTCCCCATATAGCAGAGAGTTGGATGTTGTTCTTGATCCCAGGACCCTGCCCTCACATTGATCCTGATGCCTAAATAAGCCCTGAAATTACCTGACCCTAATTTTCACCCTGATTCTGACCCTGACTCTCAACTTGGATCTTGTTTTTATCCTTACCCTGCAATACGTACCCTGAAATTGAACTTCATGATGACCTTACCCTAACCATGACATGACTCTAAACTCTCAATATGTTGCTGACCCTGTGACCATGACCATGACCTTCACAGACCCTTAATAAGGCTCTGGCATTCAGGCCGACTTTGATTCTGAACTCAACACTTAACTTGACCTTCACCTGACCCTGATCATCAACCTGACACTGATGTGTTGATTTTGATCCTGAAGCTGATCCTGACACTATTACCACCAAGACCCTGACACGGACCTTAACTATCAAACTTTCCTGATGTTGACTTTCACCCAGACACTGACCCTGTCCCTTGACCTGATCCTTTCCCTTACTTGAACCTGCCTCTCACCAAGACCCTGACTATGAACATGAAATAGACTCAACCCCACTATATCCCTATACTCATTAATCCTGACCATGACATTCATCCTCTCTCTGATCCTATCACCAAGAATCATGTTTAAACCGACCCTCACCCAAACACTGACTTTGACCCTCAGGCTTAGCTGTCTCAGACCCTCATCTTCAACTTCACTGTACACCTGATCCATTTTCTTCAATTTCACCATATACTTGACTTTTATTCCACCTTCAACCTAAATCTAAGCCAATACTGATATTCAGATTTACACTGAGACCTTCACACTCCCCCTAACACTGATCCCCAGGCTGATCATTACTCTGAAACTCGTACTCAACCTGACCATCTTGATTCTGACCCTGAATTGAACTCTGAATCTAACCCTCACTCTGTCCTTGAACCTCATCTTCCCACTCTCCGTGCCTATGACTTTCAACTGACTTTGACCCTGATGTGATCCCAACAATGACTCTATACTCCCCATCCCTCAAAATTTAAACTGAGTTTAGTCTTTGACCAGAAACTAATATTGACCCTGATTCTGATTACTCTGACTCTAGATTGGTATTCTGACCAGGCACTAACTCTGAAGTAGACTTTTACTCTGACACACATAATCACATGACCCTAAACCTTACTTTGACTCATGCCTGACCCTGTGTGTGACTTAGATTCTGACCCTCACTTCATACACTGCATGACTCTGACCCTCACCTTGACCCTGAACTGCTTCCTCAAACTCACTGTGACTATAACATTGACTTGAAGTTTTTATTTTTATTTATTTATTTGGCAGAGACACAGTGAAAGACGGAACACAAGCAGGGGAAGTGGGAGAGGGTGAAGCACGCTTCCAGCTGAGTAGGGAGCCTGATGCAGGGCTCAATCCCAGGACCCCGGGATCACAACTCAAGCCGAATGCCTAACCTGAGCAGGTGCCTAATGACTGAGCCACCCAGGCACCTCTATAACATTGACTTGATATTCAACCTAATGTTGACTGGGCTTGTGACTTTCTTATGATCCTTATCATACTCTGATGCTGATCCTATTGTAACCTTCACCCTGTCCCTGAATTTCACACTGACACTGAACCTCTATGTCTCTCTTACCCTTATTGTATGCTCATACTCACCTTGACCATCACATTTTTCATCACCATGACCATCACCATGACCCTTAGTTTGATCTAGATATTGATCATGACCATGATTCTAACCCTGAGGTATATACTCACTGTCACCTTGACTCTGACTCTCATTCTGACACTACCTCTATTCTACACCCAAACCTTACTCTGATGCTCACTCTTACATTATGTCTGATCATGACACTC